TGTATTTTTATGTTACACACACAAACACGCAACTTCAGTTTTTTTAATGATTCTGTGCTTTCCAGAGGAGATAGATAGAGAGAGAGAGAGAGAGAGACCCAATTTAAAGTGTTTTGGGGGAAAGGTCCTGTACGGGGAAATTAATTTTTTGTTTCATTTTTTGCCATTTTTCATTTTATATTTACAATATGCCCAAACTAGAATTAAGCTAAAAAATCTAGGTGAGATCTTGGAGTGATGTTTTGTAAAAAATTTTGAGTTTTAAAAATTAAACCCAAAACCTTTGGGGTTTACTTATATTTTTCGTAAGACAACAAGAATTTATTAGCTTTATTGTAATCACTTAAGGGCACGGGAGTCTTTTTCTTTAGATTTTTTTTAACCCCTTTCAGGGTCCAAGGCCCAAATCTGAAGTGGTGCCCCGTGTCCAAAAATTTTCAAAAAAAAATTGTTTTTTTTTCTTATGAAAAGTTGAGAATCTTTTTGTTTAAGGTTTAAAAAAAACAAAAAAATACGGGAAAATTTGGGGGAAAATTGACGAAATTTTTTGCTCTCGCGAAATTTTTATGTGTCAGCGATATTTTTCGGGAATTTGGCGTTTTTTCCGAAATTTGATTCCCCTTTTAGGCCCAAATTTCATTATTCCAACAAACCCCAAATTTTTTTTAGTTTTTTTCACTAGTTTTTTACTTCTATTCTATCGATTTTTAGCCACAAAAATTGCCAAATCAACTGTTTCAATTTGGGAAAAAAAAAAGTGATTTGGGAAATTTTTAAATTTTGGGCCCTTTTTAAAACCCAAAATTCAAAATTTCCAATTTTTAAAAAAGGCTTTCCGAATAAACAAAGTAAGGGTTTTTCCTGGAACAAATAACTTTCCTCTGTTTATTAGTTACATTTTGAGGCTTTACAAAATTTAAAATTCCCTTTTGATTTTTTTTTAAAATAAAGAATTTTTATTTACACCAAAAATAGAAGATTTACTGTTATGCAATACGTAAAATTGTATAAATATTTTTCACCCTATTTTGTAAAGTATATTAGACCCACCAAGGGGTGACGTGTATTTGATGGTGAGGTCGTTTGTTTTTCTTTGAAATCGGCAAAAAATTTAAAAATTTTCCTACTTTGAGCCCCCAATTTTAAGGGCCTTTTCAGTTTCTAAAACCAAACAAAAAAACATATCTATTTTTGAATTTGTCTTCCCTTCTATCAAATGAGAAACCCAAAAAATCGCCCAAAAACAACTTTAAAAAAACATACGAAAAAAAACTGCAAAGTCCTTTTTTTAATCGAAAAATCTTTATTTCCCGTTTTTTTCTCTCTTATACACAGTGTGCTGCAAAGGGTCGTTTTTGGGGGCCCCACACATACCACATTGTTTTATTCTCTCATATCTAGGCCCCAAAAGTACCAATCACAGGGTTTTTCAGAGTGAGTTTGAGCTCATGGGGTTTTGGGTCTTCGGGGGTTTGGGCATCCCTTTAAAGCCCTGATTAAAGGGCGGACCCTGAAAGGGTTTTAAAAAAAAAATTTCCCAAGTTTTTTCCATTAGGTTGTTAAAAGATGCTGTCTTTCTTTTTCTCAGGATCCCGGAGCCCTTTCATTTTTTGACATTTAACTGCTGTTTTGCACTTTTCCCCAAACCCTAACATCAACTTCCCCAAAACATCCCTTTTGCTCCTTTTTGTCATCCTTTAGAAATTTGGCCCGACCCTTTTTTTTGTGGCTAATTTTTTTATTTCCTTATCTTTGGGTTTTTTATGTAAAATGTGGGGAAAAAGGGGCCCAAAGGGATTTGGCTCCCAATGGGGGGAAAATCAAATTTCTATGTTTTTTTCTTCTGGGAAGCAGTCATTGAATATATGGTGGTTTTAAAAAATTTTTCTTTTTTTTTCTTTTGGGCTCTGGTGGTAACGCTCTCGTTTCCCCACGGCAAGGGCCTGGGTTTGATTCCCCGCCCAAAAGTAGGGAAAAATTTGGGCCCTGGGTTTTTTTCCACCGTTTTCTATGTTCCCCATCAAATAAAAAAAGGGGGACCCGGGTGTCAGGGCGGTTTGGGGTTTTGGGGCGGGATTCCTGGGACACTGACCCAATTTGCCCCCACATGCCCCCGAGCATAAAAAAGGGGCGTTCTATATAGTTTTACGTCATTGTTTTTCAAACAGGCCTGTATACCATGTACATGTACTTGTTTTGGGAAAAAAAGATTTTATTTTATATTAAAAGGTCACCCTATCTTGGTGGGAAACTGCCGTATTGTAAAATGAAAAAAATATAGATTTGGCAAGAATGTTTTTAGTTTAATTGGGAGCGGGCTTTTAGAATAGCATCATTGAAGCAAACCCTTTGGATAGATTTTAAAAGTACATTTGATACATGAGTAAGAACTCAAGAAGGAAGGAGCACTGCAGTAGGCCTACTGGCCCATGCTAGGCAGGCTCAAGTCACCTACTGGCCAAAGCCAGTCAGGGCCAAGTTACATTCACTTAAGAAGGAAGGAGCACTGCATCAGCTACTCAGGTCCAACTCATACCCACCCACACCCACTCGTGTATTTGTCTAACCTATTTTTAAAACTACTTAATGTTTTAACTTCAGTGATGATACTCAGGAGTTTGTTCCACTCATCCACAACTCTGCTGTATTACCAAACCAGTGCTTTGCTATATTCTCTCTGAACCTAATTTTTTTCCAGCTTGAAACCATTGCTGCAAGTACTGTCTTGATTAGATATTTTTAGCATGATATTTACATTTCCATTATTCCTGTTTTCCATTTATACACCTCAGTTATATTTCCTCTAATTCTATGCCTTTCCAGAGAGTTCAGATTTAGGGCCCTCAGTCTATCTTCACAGGAAAGATTTCTGATACATGGAATCAGCTGTGTCATCCTCGTTGTTTTCCAGCGCATTTATATCCATTCTGTAATACATTGACCAGAACTATGCAGTATAATCTAAATGAGGCCTAACCAATGAAATATAGAGTTGAAGAACAACCTGAATTATCCCAATTTTTATGTTATATGTGCATATGTACAGTGGAACCTCTACTTGCGAGCGCATCCACGTGTGAGTGTTTCCAAATACGGGCCGTTGATGGGTTGATTTTTTGCTTCCATATGCGAGCAAAATTTCCATAAGCGAGCAGACCTCAAGGGAGGTTCTTTGACGCTGGTGAGGGGCTCTTGCTCTTGATCTAGGGAATTGTATCTCATTTGTTTGTTGGACTATCTTATTGAAACTTGGGCAATGTATGATGGAAAGATGCTGCTTAATGTACACCAAAAATGAAAGAAATTGGAGCATAAATAATGGGGTTCACTTCTCGGCAATTAGCCACCCCTTGGCGGTATTTTCGTATGGTTTTATGGTTGTATTCTCTTTTTTTTTTTTTTTTTTTGTCTCATTTGATAGAATGGAAGATATATCACAGAAATAGATATGATTTTGATTGCTTTCACGACGAAAAGTATCTTGAAATTGAGCTCAACGAGGGAGAAATGCTCATTTGCTTAACTATGTTCAAGAGTAAACAAATTACATCACTGTCCATTCCAATATGCAGTCGTGAAGGGGTTGACATTATTTATACAATTATTGCAATAAGGCATAACAGTAAATCTTATATTTTTTGTATGAATAAAAATTACAAATTAGTATTTAGTATATTGTAATAATAATAATAACAACAATACTAATAATATGTATAATAATAATAGTATAATACAATAATGATAATATAATACATATGATAATAATACATACATAATAATAATGTACTATGTAATAATAATTATAATAGATGGCTTCAAAAGGCCGTCACTAGATGGCAGTGTTTACCACAACAAAGAGGGAGCGAGTGTGGCTGCCTCCACCTGTTACATAATGACATACTTTATTCATTCTAGAGTATATATATCAGGTTTCTATGTTATTTACATTGTTTATTATTTCATATTAGATGAACTGTGATAGATAGATAGATAAGCCGTAGAGTTGATGATAGCGAAATATTCAAGGAGTATTTTGTCCTGTCTCCAGACAAATTCTCGTCAGCCGCTGCTGCCGCTACACATATAATGACATATTTTATTCATTCTAGAGTATATATCAGGTTTATATGTTATTTATGTTGTTTGTCATATTAGATGAACTGTGATAGATAAATAAGCCGTATAGATGATAGCAAAATTTTTCAAGTAGTATTTTGTCCGGTCTCCAGACAAACTGTCATCCACTGCCGACACAGCCCATACCACTACATGAATTACATGTTTTATTCAATTTAGAGTATATATCAGGTTTCTATGTTATTTATATTGTTTATTATGTCATATTAGATCAAGTGAGATAGATAAATAAGCTGTGAAGTTGATATTAGTGAAATTATTGAAGTACAGAATTCCACTGGAACGGATTAATTTAAATGAGAAAAATTGATTCTGCAAACGAGCAAATCCAGTTGCGAGCAAGGTCATGGAACGGATTAAACTCACAAGTAGAGGTTCCACTGTATGTATATTATAGGGCCCTTAAGAACCCTGGAATGCAGTTTGTTGGACTGGGTGATTTACAGTAGTTTTCATGTCTCCTTTCTTGAGAGCACTGTTGTTAGTACAGTTGCTGAAAGTTGTACTATTGTAATAATATTTTGCTATTCTTTGACTTTCTTCACACATCATACCTTCCATGGCCAGGTTCCCTGCAAGAGTAGCTCGTCTGTCTCGCAATTAGTAGATGGAGGATCAGGCCGCCTCTACTTGGGCTGAATGACCCACAGATTTAGTGCTTCTGATAATAATACACTGTAGTAACAATTTTCACAGCCATTTCCTGTTTGCAGTATACTATATTGTGATAGCCATGTTAAATAAAAATTTAGATATGTACTATAATGTGTGAAGGTCTGCATGAGGCAGCTTAATAATGGTTTTGTTTTCATTTTATCAGTGTGTAGTCAGTCAATTTCATTACAATTTTTTTTTTCCCACAGACAAATTCTACTTCAACCATCACCATGCAGAACGATGTTGGAGAATACGTGGATCTTTATGTGCCACGCAAGTGTTCAGCATCTAATCGCATCATCTATGCCAAAGACCATGCCTCCATCCAAATAAACTTAGCTGAGGTTTGCTATTTTTCATGAATAAATTGTATAGTGTTCATTATAAATGGTATTGGTAGAAATTTAATGTTTTGACAGAGCAAGTGGATTTGTCTTTAAATGTGCATTTTTAATACACCTTAAACCTGTCATCAGTTTAGTTGATTTTTTACACAGCATTCAGGAGAGGATATATTTATTTTACTATGGTAATTTTTTCAGTTTTAGTTTTTCAGTTATAAAGTATCTTCTGTGGAGCAAGCTCTTGTGTCAGATTGCTACAGTGGAAAGCTCTGTTCCCTAGGACACAATACTCACCCTGCATCCTTTTCCTCATCCTCATGTCCAACATAGTTATTAATCATAGCACTATATCATCCTTTGCACACGATATTAGAATTTGTGTGGAAGTGGCATAAATTGAGGACACTACAAATCTTCAGGAAGGCATAAACTAAGTCATCCAGTGGGCCACTGAAAACTATGTGATGATCATTGAGTACAAATTTTGCTGTCTCTGTTTTCGAAAAAATGAGGAAATAAAAACGAGAATAAAGTATAAAACTAGCTTGAAACACTCGGTAGAACTAAAACTAGCAATAAGGACCTAAGAATAATGTCAAAGTACAGTGGACCCTCAACCAACAGCTTTAATCCGTTCCAGAGAGCTAGCCTTCAGTGGAATTAATATTCCCCATAAGAAATAATGGAAATCCAATTAATCCATTTCAGACAGCCAAAAGTATTAACAAAAAATATTTTTTTTTAAAGTTTAATATATTTATAGATGGGGTTGTAAAAGAAGTAAATGCTGGGGTGTTTGGGAGAGGGGTGGGATTAAATTATGGGGAATCAAATACAAAATGGGAATTGACACAGTTGCTTTTTGCTGATGATACTGTGCTTATGGGAGATTCTAAAGAAAAGTTGCTAAGGTTAGTGGACGAGTTTAGGAGGGTGTGTAAAGGTAGAAAGTTGAAAGTGAACATAGAAAAGAGTAAGGTGATTAGGGTATCAAATGACTTAGATAAAGAAAAATTGGATATCAAATTGGGGAGGAGGAGTATGGAAGAAGTGAATGTTTTCAGATACTTGGGAGTTGACGTGTCGGCGGATGAATATATGAAGGATGAGGTTAATCATAGAATTGATGAGGGAAAAAAGGTGAGTGGTGCGTTGAGGTATATGTGGAGACAAAAAAACATTATCTATGGAGGCAAAGAAGGGAATGTATGAAAGTATAGCAGTACCAACACTTATATGGGTGTGAAGCTTGGGTTGTGAATGCAGCAGCGAGGAGGCGGTTGGAGGCAGTGGAGATGTCCTGTCTAAGGGCAATGTGTGGTGTAAATATGCAAAAAATTTGGAGTGTGGAAATTAGGAGAAGGTGTGGAGTTTATAAAAGTATTAGTCAGAGGGCAGAAGAGGGGTTGTTGAGGTGGTTTGGTCATTTAGAGAGAATGGATCAAAGTAGAATGACATGGAGAGCATTTAAATCTATAGGGGAAGGAAGGCAGGGCAGGGGTCTTCCTCGAAAAGGTTGGAAGGAAGGGGTAAGGGAGGTTTTGTGGGTGAGGGGCTTGGACTTCCAGCAGGTGTGCGTGAGCGTGTTCGATAGGAGTGAATGGAGACAAATGGTATTTGGGACCTGATGATCTGTTGGAGTTTGAGCAGGGTAATATTTAGTGAAGGGATTCAGGGGAACTGGTTATTTTTATATAGCCGAACTTGAGTCCTTGAAATGGGAAGTACTGTATGTACAATGCCTGCACTTTAAAGGAGGGGTTTGCAATATTGGCAGTTTGGAGGGATATGTTGTGTATCTTTATATGTATATGCTTCTAAACTGTTGTGTTCTGAGCACCTCTGCAAAAACAGTGATTATGTGTGAGTGTGGTGAAAGAGTTGAATGATGGTGAAAGTATTTTCTTTTGGGGGATTTTCTTTTTTTTTTTTGGGTCACCCTGCCTCGGTGGGAGACAGCCGACTTGTTAAAAAAAAAAAATGAATATACATACAGAAAACAAGGACAAATAAATATAAAGCACTAATAAAATGAATAAATGAACATTTAACCCTTTCAGGGTCCGTCCCGTAGATCCACGGCTTTACGTTCAGGGTCCAAACCGTAGATCTACGTCATGAGCTCAGCTCACTCAGATAAACTGTGAGTGGTAAATTTGGGCCTAGATATGAGAGAATACATCTATGTGGTATGTGTGCACCACATAAAACAAATCCTGCAGCACACTGTGTATAATGAGAAAAAAAAACTGAGACCATTATTTTCGATTAAAACAGCGACTTGCAGTGTTTTTTCGTATGTTTTTTATAGTTGTATTTGTGATTTCTTGGTTTCATTTGATAGAATGGAAGACATATTACAGAAATAGAGATAATTTTGATTGGTGTTAGCACTGGAAATGGCTTGAAACTGAGCTCAAAGTGGCGGAAATGTTAAATTTTTGCTGATGTTCAAGAGTAAACAAACGACCTCACACGTCTAATACACGCCAGCTGGTGGGTCTAATATACATTCACAAATGTGGTGATGATATTTATACAATTATTACAATATTGCATAACAGTAAATCTTCTATTTTTTGGTGTGAATAAAAATTCATTATGTGAATAAAAAAATCAAAACGGAATTTATTTGTAAAGCCTCAAAACGTAACTAATGAACAGAGTTAATGTTAGTTTAGTGCCAGGAATACCTACATTGTTTATTCTGGACCCTATTTTGAAATTGGAATATTTTGAACTTCGTGTTAAATTGGCCAAATTACCAATTTCCGGTCACTTTATTTTGTAGTTGAAACAGTTGACTTGGCGATTTCTTGTGCTCAATCGATAGAATAGAAGTAATACTAGTGAAATAGCTAAGAATTTGGTCGACTGGAATAATGTAATTGGCCTAAAATGGGAGTCAAAGTCGGCCAGATCGCCGATTCGTAAATATTGCTGACACATCAAAATTCACGAGAGCATAATTTCGTCAGTTTTCCATCAAATTTCGTACTTTTTGTTTTATTACATTCACAAAAAGATTCTCTACCATTTCATAAGAAAAAATAACAATTTTTTTTTTTTTAAATTCTTGGACACTGGGGCACCACTTCAGATTTTGGCCTTGGACCCTGAAAGGGTTAACATCACACTTACCTTTATTGACTTAACTTTATTGACTTCACTTGACTTGTTGGTGTATGATAGACACGTAGGAGGCAAATTTATTATGCTTCAATATGACGCTAATATCGTCTCTTCGGCTTATTTATTTATCACAATTCATCTAATATGACATTATAAACAATATTAATAACATAGAAACATGATATATACTCTAGAATGAATAAAATGTCATAATGTATGAGAGGAGTAAATGGTTTAAGTGTTATTGTTGGGTTTAAGGGCTGCCACTGAGACAAGCTGTGTTGGTGGCAGTGGAGGATTTTGCCAGCACCACCATCACACTTAAACATTGTATGTAATTTATAAATAAGTAAGTTGATTCAAGTATACACAAATACAGTTACATAGATTATCATACATAGCAGCATATGTGTAAAGTACCTAGGATAACCCAAAAGAGTCAGAGTGACTTATATATCTCTATTGGGGTCCTTTTATATTTACACTTAATATATTTATTTTTATGCTTACACTTTTATATTTACACTTACCTTGGAGGAGATGTTAGTTTAATTAGTTAGTCTGATGGAGGAGATGATGACATAGGTTTAGGGTAGTGGAAGATAGCAGGCTGCCGTATGTTCAGCGGATGTACACACATCCGCGTTAAGAGACCATACAATAAGTGTCAGGGGCCCGAGACTGTTCAACTGCCTCCCAGCATACATAAGGGGGATTACCAACAGACCCCTGGCAGTCTTCAAGCTGGCACTGGACAAGCACCTAAAGTCGGTTCCTGACCAGCCGGGCTGTGGCTCGTACGTTGGTTTGCGTGCAGCCAGCAGCAAGAGCCTGGTTGATCAGGCTCTGATCCACCAGGAGGCCTGGTCACAGACCGGGCCGCGGGGGCGTTGACCCCAGGAACTCTCTCCAGGTAAACTCCAGGTAAACATCCAAGAACATTGGAGAGTTAGTTACTTTCATGTCGTTTTTCTATCGCTTACACGCTTAACTTACTTGCTACACTGTTAATTCTACACTATCGCTGGCTGGCACTATAGCCTTTATCGATACCTGCTGCTCTAGTATCGTACATATCGCTGAATCACTGCAGAAGGCACATTCTCCCCTCTCTCTTCCTTCTCCACTTAGGTACTTTGCTACGAGTTTTTTCTTGAATTTTATGTGTTTCTTTCCTTCTTTATCACAGGGCTGGCACTAGAAACTTTCCTTGGGCCTATGATGGCTTATTTAGCAGTTACAAGCACAAAAAAAAAATGGAATAATACAATATATATCACATGTACGCATGGAATCGACCACAACGGCTTGTAAACAATGGGACACTGGCTATACACAGAGTTTTGGAGTGGCTGGGCCTGCTCAGGATGAAAGCCTTTAGACGAGTTTTTCGGCGTTGGTAGAGCCAATATTTTGATGCCAGAGAGAGCCGTTAGTCTATTTTGGTGTTAGACGATGCTGCCATTAGTTGAGGGTCCACTGTATCTTTCAAGAATCACAAGAGTGGTAGGGAACCGTGATAAAAATGATAGGATGGATAACGAAACTTTCAAAATTACACAAATGATATACCAAGCCAATGATGGTCCTTTTAAGTCAATTGTCCTCTCTGGGCTAGAATATTGCTGTACACTAACAGTGCCTTTTATCAGATTTCAATGGGATTGTGACAGTGGATTAAGCAGCTTAAAAAAAACGTATAGGCTGTGTTTGTTTTGACTGTTAGCCTTCAAGTTAGAAAAAAATTATTTTTGCACAATTTTATGGGTCCTAGGACTTTCCACTTTCTACTAAATTGGGAAGATGTACAATGCTCTAGTTGACATCAGATGAAAGATAAAGGCTAGATTAATAATGACCCAGGACAG